TCTGGCGCTTCTGCCCCTGCAGATGGAGAGCTGGGTGCAGGAGTGTGGAGCAGAGACCAGCTCCCAGGCGGTGGCCCTGGTGGAAGGCTTCCTCCTGAGCCAGACGGAAGAGAAGAAGGAGAGGACTGAGTGGCAGGTGAGAGACCTTTATTTGGGATCTCAGAAATTGTTAAATCTAATAAGCAATGTGTTTGATTTTTAACACTTCCCTACCAGAGTTCTTTAGCATTCATTATATGTGGAGATACTCTGAAAATTCCTGCAGGACATTGTTTTGTTATTTGTGATAGTCGTTCCTTTCCTTCTTTCCAATCTCACTGATGGATTGTGGAGCTTCAAAATTGTATTCACAGAAAAAGAATCTTAATGTGTATTGTCCATTCATTCTTGTTTTCTGCGTACTTTTTCAAGTCCTTCATGGTAGAGATCAGAGATCCTGAGCAAAGGAGGCATCCATCATGTTCATCTCCAGAAATGTTTTTCAGGAGGATATCTCAGGAGGATCCATACATGGACATGACCAGAGGTAATACAAGGCTCTCCCATTTCCCAGAGAGATCTCAGCTGTTTCATCTTCTCTATGCCTTCTCTTCTATAGAACTCATGTGTTATGAATTATGCAGTGCAAATTCTGTCTCCCTCATAGGGAAGAATAGAAGGAAGTTGACCCTTCCAGATGATGGAACTGAAAGAATGGTTGAAACTCCAGTTCAAGTAAGAGGAAATTAATTGATTCGATTTGTATGCTCCCTTCTTTCAGAAAGACAAGCTGATGTACATAAACTGTCTCCTTCCATTAAACTTTTTAAAGACCAGTACTTTTTTAAAAAAGTGCTGCTTGTTGCCAGTTATTATTACAATAATTGTAATTATGTAATTACTCTAATCCCTTTTCAAATAATCCTTCATGATACACCATTCTTTTTGTAATTCTTTGAGTTGGATATGTAAAAAGATGATGGAAAATAGTTGAATATTTACACTGGTCATGTACCATTTTTTTTTTAAAAAAAGCTTTGTTTATAGTCAGTGATAAAACTAAGTGGTGCAGATTAAAAGGTAACACTATTAAAACCCAATGTGAGTTAGTAGACATTCTCAAAGTAGAAATTGTTCTTAAAGAGCACTTAATCAAGGAATTTTGGCTTGCAAAGTAAATTCTAATGTCCTGATTTGTACCTGAATTTGGAAGCCAAACAATCCAGCCTTGCAAAAGCTAAACATGTCCTTCTTGGGAATTTTTTTCTGCTTTTTTATCTTCCATTCAGTCAATGTCTCAAGACTAGAAGCAAGGATTGAAGTCATTGATATGTGGGGTTTCCAAGGCCCGTCTGCTAGTTGATTCTCTCCAGAAGTCTTCCAATGGTGAATAGATGAATGCCAGATCAATCAATCAAAAGGAAATTGGGGTTATTTTCACTGAAAACATCTGAATGTCCCGGAGAATCAAATTGATTAAGCCTATCCAAAACATTCCTTCAATCCAAACCTTTTCTCTGTCAATTTTCTTACATAAACTCTGGAATGCTACTTAGCAGAGCCATTTGTCTAAGTGCATAGCTTTGCTTTGGGAATTTATAAATCATAGAACCCTTTTTTAAACAATTCCTCCTGGGCCTTCTGTGTACTCTCTTTCCCCATCAGGAGGGCCTTGTCTCCTTCGAGGAGGTGGCTGTGTATTTCTCCGAAGAGGAATGGTCTCAGCTGGATCCTGACCAAAAAGCTCTGCATTGGGAAGTCATGATGGAAAATTACAGGAATTGTTTAAAAAAGGGTTCTATGATTTATAAATTCCCAAAGCAAAGCTATGCACTTAGACAAATGGCTCTGCTAAGTAGCATTCCAGAGTTTATGTAAGAAAATCGNTAGGTGCGAACTGGTAGGAACCTACCTCTGCCACACACCCCAGATTCCTTCTGGAAACGCAGGAAGGATTGGAGTCAGTGGTAGATAAGGTTTCCAAGGCCCATCTGCAAGTCTCTCCGGAATCTCAAAATCTTTGACGAGATATGGATGAATGGGTAGTTACAGCGATTGATCGATAGATAGATGATATAGATAGCTCCAGAAGGAAAGTGGTGTAATTAAATTGATAAAACCTGCCCAAAATATTTTTTCAGTCACTGCCTTTTGGCTCTGTCCTCTTTCCCAACCCTACTTTAGAATCCTACCAAGCACATAGTGCTGTGCTGGCGAACCTATGGCAGATCCCTCTCTGAGGGTACATGAGCTGTCGCCCCAGCTCAGCTCCATCATGCATGTGCGCACGCCTCCTATCAGCCAGCTGGTTTTTGGATCTCTGCTGCACATGCACAGGGAGTGGAGCGCATGCGAGAGATGTGCGTGCATGCGCGGGGTGGGGGTTGCATGTGTATGTATGGGGGTCGCATGCATGTGAGCAGGGTGGCACATGTGTAGGGGTTGGAGTGCATGCGAGAATTGCACATGCATGTGCAGGGGGCATGTGGGGGCCATGCGCATGCAGAGGGCGGGGCGCACAGGGGAGTCGCACGGTCATTGTATTATGGGTGCTTTCGGCACATGACAATAAAAAGGTTAGCCATCACTGACATACTGCATATTTTGGTTTTGGGAACTTGTGAACAATGGGGCAGATGCTGCATATTCTCCTGGACATGTTCCGTTTTCCCCTCTGTTCAGGAAGATCTTGTGTCCTTTGATGAGGTGGCTGTGTATTTCTCGAAGGAGGAGTGGTCTCAGTTGGATCCTGACCAAAAAATGCTCCATTCGGAAGTCATGTTGGAAAATCATAGGAACGTGGCCTCTTTGGGTAAGAAAATGCCAGTAATTTTATCAGAATAAAAACAATACAAATTTTGAAGAGGAAATAAAGATAGAGTAATGCGATTAATGTATAAGGAAAAAGGTATGATAAAATTAAAAAAATAATAAGAACACCTCTGGGTAAGTCTTCTCCCCAATATAGTGTTTGGGAAGACATTCTGTAGTTGGATGCCATCAGCTACTTCTTTATTGAGTCCCCTCCGGGGGAAAAGGGCAGCATATAAATATAATAATAAAATCAATCAATTTTTCTGATTTTATTTTTAAAAATCAGAATAAAAACAATGCAAATACTGAAGCAGAAATAAAGAAGATAAAGTAATGTAAAGAAAAAAAAACAAGAAAGAAGGGAAAAGGGGAAAAACATGAAAAAGTAATAAAGAAGTGGCTTCCAACCATCGTAATAGCAGTTATAAATGCAATTATATTATAGCTTTTATCGCTTAAGGTTACATCATCGTTTCCTTTCCAAAAATTATCCTTTGTTGTACTCTTTATACCCATAAATCACAAACTGAGGTGTTTTTTTTTCTTTTTTCAGCAAAAAGCCCATCAGGGAGTTTCAGTCACTAATAAATGTAAATATTATCCTTTCCCAGATCAAAGAACTCGATTTAACCATCTCTGTTAATTTTGTCATCTTCAGTCATTCCTCCATTGTAGTTTTTTCAGAGTCCTTCCATCTTTATGAATATAATAGCATTGCTAGTTATCAAAGTTAACACTCTTCCGTTTTCTAGCTGTCAGTGTATTAGTACCAACAGAAAATGTTCTAATTTCAGTTCAGTGTTGATCTTTAAAATTCTCTACATCAATCCAACCCACATATTTTCCCATTGTTACATTTATATATTATGACAAAATCTCTTTGCCCATTTTATCATACATTTTAATCTGTATATAGGTTTTAGTGATTACATGTTCATCCTTTCTTCACAATTATGATTCAAATTCTCTCTCATGTTGTACTTTTATATAACTTGATTTTTTCTGATGATAATATTTTGCCCTCCCCAGCCCCCAGGAACACTTTGCAGGCCTCCCAAACCCTTTGCACATGAAGGGGGTGGGGTTTCAGGAAGCCAAAAATGCTTAATTGAGTGTATAAGACACACCCAGATTTTCTCCCTCTTTTTTAGGAGGAAAAGGTGCGTCATATACTTTGAAAAATACAGTACCTTATGTTTACGTGATTCTTCCTTAATTCAAAGCTGACTAGGTGAAACATGTATGGATAATTATAAACAAACATATTATAATATATTGGAATCTGCCAAAATATCATTAGGAAATTCATAGGACTTTTACAGGTTGATCTTTTCCCCTAACTTAGCATTTTCATTTCTCTTTTCCTTTGAAGGTAATAATGGGCAAGAAAACAAAGATACCGAGGAACCATTTCAAGTATTCAGTGTTGGGGATGAAATGCAGAAATCTGAAATTCAAGTGGAAATAGAAAGTCATGAAAGAACCCAGACAAATAATTGGAATCTGGAAAGCTCATCTTCCATTGATGCTCAGATGCAAGACTTTCTTGTCCCACAAGGAAAAATAAAGAAAAAATATACTGGGAAAAATGTAAACCTATTGAAAGACAAGTTAGATGTAAATGAACACAATCCAACGGAAATCAAAAGAGAAGATTATATATCCAGAGACAATGGAAACAATTACAATTGGACTTTCACCCTTCCTCATGAAAATGGGCCCCTTACATCTTGTAAAAAGACCCATACAGAAGAGAAGCGATATAAGTGCTTGGAATGTGGAAAGAGCTTCAAAAGAAGCAGTCAGGTTATGTCCCATAACTGGATCCACACTGGGGAAAAGCCATATAAGTGCATGGAATGTGGAAAAAGTTTCAGTGAGAGCCGTTCCCTTACATCTCATAAATGGATCCATACAGGGGAGAAGCCATATAAATGCAGACAGTGTGGAAAGGGGTTTGGTGAAAATGCATCCCTTGTGAAACATAAAAGGATCCACACAGGGGAGAAGCCATATAAATGTGCGGAGTGTGGAAAGAGCTTTATTCAGAGCAGTCATCTTTCTTCTCATAAAAGGATCCACACAGGGGAGAAGCCATACAAATGTAGAGAGTGCGGAAAGGGCTTTACCAATAGCAGTCATCTTACTTCTCATAAAAGGATTCACACAGGAGAGAAGCCATACGAATGCACAGAGTGCGGAAAGAACTTTACAAACAGCAGTCAACTTATTTCCCACAACTGGATCCACACAGGGGAGAAGCCATATAAATGTTTGGAGTGTGGAAAGAGCTTTACTAATAGAAGTCAACATACTTCTCATAAAAAGATCCACACAGGAGAGAAGCCATATAAATGTGTGAAGTGTGGAAAATCTTTTACTAATAGCAGTCAACTAACTTCCCATAACTGGATCCACACAGGGGAGAAGCCATATAAATGTCTTGAATGTGGAAAAGGCTTCTGTCGAAGGAGTTCCTTTACTTCTCATAAAAGGATCCATACAGGGGAGAAGCCTTACACCTGCAGAGAGTGTGGAAAGGGCTTTACTAACAGCAGTCATCTTACTTCCCATAAAAGGATCCATACAGGGGAGAAGCCGTATAAATGCATGGAGTGTGGAAAAAGCTTCTGTGAAAATGGGTCCCTTATGAGACATAAAAGGATCCATACAGGGGAAAAGCCATATAAATGCATAGAATGTGGAAAGGGTTTCTGTGAAAATGGGTCCCTTATGAGACATAAAAGGATCCATACAGGGGAAAAGCCATATAAATGCATAGAATGTGGAAAGGGTTTCTGTGAAAATGGGTCCCTTATGAGACATAAACGGCTCCACACAGGAGAGAAGCCGTATAAATGCATAGAGTGTGGAAAGGGTTTCTGTGAAAACGGGTCCCTTATGAGGCATAAAAGGATCCACACAGGGGAAAAACCATATAAATGTCCGGAGTGTGAAAAGGGCTTCAGCCAACAGAGTAAACTTATTTCCCACAAAAGGATCCACACAGGGGAGAAGCCGTATAAGTGTCTGGAGTGTGGCAAGATTTTTATTCAGAGCAGTCACCTTGCTTCCCATAAAAGGATCCATACAGGGGAGAAACCATATAAATGTAGAGAGTGTGGAAAGAGCTTTATTCATAGTGGTTCTCTCACATTCCATAGAAGGATCCATTTGGGGGAGAAGCCATATAAATGTGGGGAGTGTGGAAAAGGTTTCTGTGAAAATGCATCGCTTATGAAACATAAAAGGATCCACACAGGGGAGAAGCCATTTAAATGTATGGACTGCGGAAAGGGCTTCTGTGAAAATGGTTCCCTATTGAGACATAAAAGGATTCATACAGGAGAGAAACCATATAAATGCAGAGACTGTGGAAAGAGCTTCCGTCATAGTGGTTCCCTTACTTTCCATAAAAGGATCCACACTGGGGAGAAACCATATAAATGCAGAGACTGTGGAAAGAGCTTCCGTCATAGTGGTTCCCTTACTTTCCATAAAAGGATCCACACTGGGGAGAAACCATATAAATGTTTTGAATGTGGAAAGAGCTTCAGG